CGAGGCGCTAAAATCTTCCAAAGCTGACGATTTTGTGTTAATATATCAAAACTAGCGCCTCGCCCGCAAGCGACCTCGGCGATTTGAGGCGAAATCGTTCCATATATAAATTGGTGAAAATGCAGTCTCTTATAAAAAAACTGTTGCCATCAAATCGCCGAGGTCGCTTGCGGGCGAGGCGCTAGAGTCCTCCAAAGTTGACGATTACGTGGCGATATATCAAAACTAGCGCCTCGCCCGCAAGCGACCTCGGCGATTTGAGGCGAAATCGTTCCATATATAAATTGGTGAAAATACAGTCTCTTATAAAAAAACTGTTACCCACAAATCGCCGAGGTCGCTTGCAGGCGAGGCGGTAGAATCGTCTAAAGTTGACAATTATGTGTGGATATATCAAATCTAGCGCCTCGCCCGCAAACCACGTCGGCAATTTAATGCGAAATGTTAACAAATAGAACCTGGAGTATTGGAGTGAAGACAGCCTAAGAAAGAAGCTGGGCGAATAACATCAGATAAGTTCCTAAAGGTTGGTCCTGGGGAAGAAAAGAGTTTTTACTGGGTAGTAAACTGTTAATCCCAGACTACCGGCCGAAATAGACACCATCACGAAATCCCTAAGGGACAATTCTAGCTATAATAAAAAAATATCGTACATATCACATTGTTGTGAAATTTTATGTTAAAATTGTGTTGGTTAAAAAATAAAAAACGATATTTTTACGAACAAATTTTATTATCAATAACGATTTTGTGCCATAATCGATTACTCCCAGAAAAAAACCATTCACGCCTCTGAAGAATATTGTTGAAAAATATTTGACACATTAAAACGCAACATGCATCACACGTTCAACATTCATCCTTTGAATGATAGGATTTTAAAGATATTGAGAAACATACAACGGCAGTGATATAACTAAATTAATATCGTAACAAAAGAATTTATAATTACATTTTCGAAAATAATGAATATAAACAGAAAAAATTTGTTTTCGCACAGTTAATTGTATGACTAGTCATATTATTCAATTTTTTTATTAAATCTAAGTATGTAGCTGCCCAAATAATTCTTTTTTAACTTTTTGGTTGTTGGAAAAACATAATAAAAATATACTAAATATAGGTTACCTTTCTATACTTAACTATAAACTACAAAACCCATATGAACTAAAATAGGGATTAATTATAATTACTACAACAAAAGCAAATACATTTAAACATATTAGACACATTAATTAAATTAATTACACAAATTTCATTGCGAACTGATTTCTTGATATACAGGCTAATATCACGCTTCGTTCGTCCAAAAAAAAAAAAATTAATAATTTCCAACTTTCTTATAAACCCATTAATAAACTTATTTTACAGTTTATTCTAAAATTATAAATTTTTTTCATTCTCTTAATTGTTCCATTGGGATCTTGGAAACATAATAAAACTTTTATTTATGATATTGTACAATTAGGTTTCTCACTGATATTGCCATCAGCTTTTTCAATCTCGGAAAGGAGCTTGTGAAAGATCTCAGACACCGACTGAAAAAATACAAGATATTGAGCGTCAAGAAATTCTGGTTGGTCTACATACCATGCCATTCTTCACACACAACTCACTCTTTTTACTCCGCAAACATAACGCACTTACGGCATTTTGTTTCGCAGATGTTTCCAAGAACACAGCCTTCCAATCTTCCGCCAATTTACGACCTTCTTCTGATGGTATCATTCGTTCCATGTGTAAATCAGTTTTATTTCCAACCAATACAACTGGAACACTATAATTAAATGATTATGAAACTAATTCTAATATATATATATATGTACTATATTCTAAATTACTTATATGATTAATAATAACCAAAGGGAGGCTTTAATTAATTTTTTTCCTTGTATATTATTAGAACAGACTTACTGGCCTTTTCCCTTTATATCCAATAACTTAGCATAAATAAGTTTAACAACATCAAATGATTTTGGGCTGGTAATGCTATAAACCAGGACATATCCATGAAAATCAATGGCATATTCGGGAGGAAATATCGAGTACTCATCTTGACCTGCTGTATCAACAAGCTTCAATTCATATTCTTGTGAATTAAACCGTGTGGTTTTAATGAATGCTATAAAATTGGGGAGTGTAAAATTAAGAAATCAACATAGACGAAACTTACTATTTTCAATTGTGGGGTCGTAAGAATCTACAAATTGACCTTCTACGTATTGTATACTTAGAGATGACTTTCCTAAAGATCGATTTTGTAAATGGTTATGAAAAATTCTTCGTTATTAAACTTACCAACTGATCTATAACCCATAACGGCTATTTTGCGTTGTTTGGATGTCATTTTTAAGTTTTTTTTTAACTACTAACTTAACAAATAAACGCACAACAACGGTTACTCTTATTCAAGTTCGTAAACCTCTTAAAACATAACAAAAAGTGCGTGTTAGAGCTATTACGTTGAAGGCGGGGACATAGCGTTTAGTTAGAACACAAAAAAATCAATTATTTATTTCTCTCTATCGTCGAAACGACAGCTGTTGCACGGCGCCAAACTGTCAATGGTTGGGTTGATTATTTTTTTTGTGCTGTTTGGTTCTCGGGTTTTACTCCCGCGATAAAGATACGCGCCGCAAAATGCTAATTATCTTTCCTTCTTGTTATTACTTAGACTTGTAGCGCCGTCTTTATTGCCCCACCAAACTCAATTCTATGCCAGTTTAGTAAACGATATCTGTAACGACGACGCTTCAAGGTTGTGTATGTATTTTAAAACGCAATTCCTGCTAATGGCTTACATAACCTATGTGTGTGTGTATCTATATATTTTCTATCACGTTTCAAAATATTTTTTTCAAAATTTTATTATTCTTCATTTATAGATACAGGATATATTCTTTTTTATATTAACATTTAATAACAATTATTACAAGTATGTATGATTTTTTTAAATAAAAATGATAGTATCTCGTTCATAGATGTCGCCCGATGTTTGGTTATATGAAAATTTTTTATCTTAGGCGATGCAGAAATATGTTCAGCAGTCTCGTTGCAAAGTCGACAGGTTTGATCCTCAACTTGTTCAATGTTGAAGTACCCTTTGGTCTGTGTCCTGGTAGTTCTTTACCTTGTTTTAAATCACTTTTTTGTAGTCTATTGTCTTTGTAGTCTGGAACCCACCATAGCCTATGGTCCATAGGGTAGCGCTCGGAACGAAACAATTTAAAATCTGAGACTGGAAGAAGAACAGAAGCAGTTGGGGCCAGTTCATTAGAAGAGTTCCTTGGAGAGTTCGGAGAGAAGATTTTAGGTATGGATTTTTGGTGAGAAGAACTGGAGAGTTCGAGTTGGAGAAAAGGATTGAGTCGATGATGAGTTAGAGTACGAGTTCCTAGAGTGGATTCCAGTGGAAAGGTTCAGACAAGAACAGCTCAAATCAGAAAGGGAGAAGTACTCCCCCTTGGGGGCATCAATAGTCAACAACTCGCCTCTCAGATTGGCTGTGATCTGCCGACTTTTCAGCATAGCATGGATTCGTAGGAGGTGTTATCAAAAGCACCGTCTATGTCTATGAAAGCACATAGGACTATCTCTTTGGTTGCAATTGTCTCCTCTAAAATGCTTGTCAAAACATGAAGAGCAGTAATTGTTGATTTTGCTTTCTGATAAGCATATTGACGTGGATGTAGTGGATGCAGAATATTGATCAATTACCTTTTCCATCCCTTTGAGGAGAAATAAAGTTAGGCTAATTAGTCTGTATTAGTGATGGAACGGATACTGATTTTGTCTATATTGCCACATTATTGCGATATTTGAATAAAAATGAAACTAATAAGAAAGCTGATAAGATATGTCAACTGATTTAACTAACGAAGCAACTCTAAAAAGAGGATACTACAATTAATAATTGGTGATATTTCCACAAGGATCCTTCAAGAAATAAATTTTATAGCGAATTTTGATCAAAACTTCAAATATTGTTTTCTCAAAAACAAAAAGTTATTTTTCAAAATGGGTCAGTTCATTGGAAAGAGGACACTTTTATTAACACTTTGGGAAATTTTCATACTCATATTCCAAAAAATCGATTTTATACGAATTTTTAAAACTTAATCGGCGAAAATTGCAAAATTCGAAAAAATTGTCGATCATTTCAAAAATTTATTTCTCAAGAACTAAAAGTGATTTTTCAAAACGGCTTATTGCATTAAAAAGAGGACACTTTAATTAATAATTGGTCATATTTCCACAAGGATCCTTCGAGAAATTAATTTTATAGCCAATTTTGAAAGTTATCCATGAAAACTAGACGAAACTGCAACAAGAGATTTTATATATCATATTGGGATTGTTACAATGATTTTGCTAATGATAAATAAAGTTGTATTCAATGAAAAAAGTCCTATTGGGGTTGCACTTGATTATTATCTGCACTGCTTCATCCTTCGTCCAATTAACCCTATGTCCTTCTACAGCTGGTCGAAATTATATCTGTTTCTATGTCTTTTTTTGTACGTACAAGTAAAGTGGTGTGAGACCGCAGTGGTGAATAATTATTGAAAATATAACTTTATTCATTGTTTCATAGATGTCGTTACATTAAATTTTAATGTTTTAACGTTATCAATGTTTTCAAATAATATTTTTCAATAAAAAAAGTTAATGTCAACATTGATGTAATTTAATTGCAAATAAGGAAAGAATGTGTCATATTGACGTTATTAAAGCGTTTAATGGTTCGAATGAAATTAATAATCGTAAATAGTATTGATTGTGAAATAATACTGGAAAATCGAAATTTCGCAAAAAAGTATAGAAATTAGCACGTGTTTGTGACGTGATTGAAAGGCTTTAAGTGATTTGAGTTGTTATACATTTTTTTTATTAAAAAAAAGTTAAATAGGAAGCGGTTGTAAGCAAATAAGTTGTAGAATAAGTAGGTTTTTATCATATCATATATTTCTTTTTATTTTTAAAGGTTGAGTTTGCTAGTTTTTCGTTATCAAAAGCGATAAGTTTTGCGGGGAGTTTTGCGAGGATTCACGGAGTTTCGCGATGTTCTGTAAAATGTTGGTATTGGTAAATCGTAATATTTAGAATAACGAACGTTGTTAAAAAAAATATGCCGCCACGTTCAATTTCATAATGAAGATATCATTACGCGGTATTCAAATTGATTGAGCGTAAGTAATCCATTTTATTTTTAAATATAAATGTTGTTTAATAAGCGTAGTTAACGAAAAGTCAATAATTCTAAGAAAGATTTTATTATTTGCGATAATAAGGGAGATTAAAGTAAAAATCGATGTGTATATACATATATATTTTTTAAATTAATCTCATATGTAAATCAATCATTTTTTTATCTTTAATTAATTTTTGTGGTAATTTTTTTTTACATAATATAAATAAATATTGAAACCTTTCGTAAAAGTCACAGTAAATGTAGTGTGTGTGTAATATGTTGTGTTAAAACATGAGAAATTTACTAAATCGGTGACGATAGTAGGGACCTTTGGATCGTTTCAGTGTGAACATTGCAATTTACCAGCTCGATTGAGTTTTAGGTTGGATTTTTTATTTTAGTAAGAGTGTTTATCCCGAAATCTCATCTTTTATTAAACAAAAAATACATATACATCTGTTCACACATGAAAATCAAGGCGTCGTGGAGATGTTACGTTCATAAAACGCGAGTTGTATCACGATAGCCTTTTGTTTTCACGCGATTCCAGTTTGTTTATCGCGTTTCGCGTTTGTTTCGCATTCATAGAAAGAGGTTGACCTGCTGTTGCTTCAGGATGCCGTTGTTTGGCAAGAAGGACTCGGACAAAAAGGCGAAAAAAGACGCCAAAGAATCAGATAAGCAACACACGATAGAAGAAAAATATGTTCTCAAAGAATTACTCGGCACGTAAGTGTTAATTTTTCTTTATTTATCCGTTCTTTTTGAGCCATCTTTGAGAAATCTTTCAACATAACCTCAAAACGTCTTTCTTTTTTTTAACTCTTCCAGAGGCGCCTTCTCGGTGGTTCGATTAGCCGAAAGCAAAGAAAAACCAGGGATGCTATATGCTGTTAAAATTATCGATAAGAAGGCGCTGAAAGGGAAAGAGGATTCTCTTGAAAATGAAATTAAAGTTCTTAGAAGGTTAGTTTTTTTTACAAGTTTCTTTTATTTTTTTTCATTCGTTTCTTTTTAGGCTTACACATACTAATATCGTCCAATTGCTCGAAACATTTGAGGATAAATACAAAGTTTATCTTGTTATGGAATTGTAAGTATTTTCCATTGACCTATATTTTCACTAAAATATTTTGAATTTTATGTCATATCTGATTAACCAACAAAAAATCCATCAAGAATGTCAAGTCTAAGGAATAATTTTTTCAAATTAACCAAATTTGATGGTTTGCGAGATTATTTCCATCTAAATGAACATGTTACTTCCAATAAATCTATATCTATTTATATTGTGGGATGAGATTAAGTCTTCTATTCATCCTACAAAACTGTGATATACTCTGCAAACTTACCAATTACTACTACAACTCACTATTACAACTCAATTTTTTATTTTAACATTGAGTAACTGCTATTTTGCTTTCAAGATGTCTATTTAAAGCTGAAATGTACATTTTACTTTTATGTTTCAGCTATAAATAAGTATATCTTTATAAATAGACGCTGTTGCTTAATAGGTGCTTTATAGAAATGAAGTGTTAAATTTTTTTTTTTAATAATATCGTTCGCCAGCTTAGAGATGCGAAAATAAAGATAATTTTACGATCTTTTTGCATTGAGGGGAAAAAAGTTTTCTAAAAATTCTAATTAACAATTTTATCTGTAACAATCAACTATTCAACAAGCTCTTGTTGCTATGAGAGCCAAACCTTGTCTCATAATCAATATATTTCGCGATTTTCTCTCAATTCATTTTTAATTCCATAATCTTACTTATAATATTCTATTCTTATCATCCATAACAGTCTCTAAGTGTTAAATATCTATTTTGATCTATCCTTTTCTCTGTGTCAGGTTCCATAACAATACTTGATTCTTCATTCAATATAGCCACATCATAAGTAGCATCATATATTACTTCCAATATCATTTCATCAAGATTCTTCTTCACATCTCTCAAAGTAGTCTTTTACCGACTTCACCTTCAAAGCTTGGGATCATAAACATTCTCTGTGATATTTCAACAACGTTTCTGGAATCACATTCACATCTTTGTATTATATCTTTGAAGAGGTACCGATGATCTGAATTCATCTCTTAGCTTTTTTGCAAACACATTCCTAAATGTGCAGCATGGGAAAATAGGCTATCACAGAAACTATAAGAGATACGAAAAAAGTAGGCGCCATGTCCCTGTCTTGTTTTCGAGACTACTCCAATCCCGCAAACACCAAACCTCTATCATCTTTTGTTTTTAAGTTATAACCAAAAAGTCAAATTTTCGTGATTTTGAAAAATGCTCATATTTCGTTTATTTTCCAAATTAGAGAAATGGGGTTGATACGTTCTTAAGACACTTTTTTAAGTAGAATATACTGCCATCGAAAAATTTTAACATACTTAATGATTTTTAAGATATAACGTAAAGTTTTATTTTTTTAAATACAAACTATAGTTGATTATGATTAGTGGTGGAACGGATATCCGGCAACTATCCGGTAATTTTTTAAAATCCGGCCGGATACCGGATAGTTATCAAATATCCAAATATATTAAAAACCTATTATTTAGTACTCCACCATTCACAGGAATTAGTATCTCTTTTAGGTGTTGGACACTGCAGATAATAATCAAGTTCAATCCCAATAGGACTTTTTTCAATGAATACAACTTTATTTATCATTTAAAATCTCTTGTTACAGTTTCGTCTAGTTTTCTTCTCTTCGCTTGTAATTCATCATCACATTCATTAATAACAGAACTGTCGCTGTTTTCACTTTCGATTGTTAATTAAAGTATCCTCTTTTTATAGCAAAAAGCCGTTTTGAAAAATCGCTTTTAGTTCTTGAGAAAAAAAATTTTGAAATGATTTGAATTTTGCAATTTTCGCCGATTAAGTTTTAAAAATTCGTATAAAATCCATTTCTTGGAATATGAGTATGAAAATTTCCCAAAGTGTTAATAAAAGTGTCCTCTTTCCAATGAACCAACCCGTTTTGAAAAATAACTTTTAGTTTTTGAGAAAACAATATTTGAAGTTTTGATAAAATTTTCGATGTTGCAATTTTCATCGATAATTTTCAAAATTCGCTATAAAATTAATTTCTTGAAGGATCCTTGTGGAAATATCACCAATTATTAATTAAAGTATCCTCTTTTTAATGCAAAAAGCCGTTTTGAAAAATCACTTTTAGTTCTTGAGAAATAAATTTTTGAAATGATCGACAATTTTTTCGAATTTTGCAATTTTCGCCGATTAAGTTTTAAAAATTCGTATAAAATCCATTTCTTGGAATATGAGTATGAAAATTTCCCAAAGTGTTAATAAAAGTGTCCTCTTTCCAATGAACCAACCCATTTTGAAAAATTCCTTCTAGTTTTTGAGAAAATAATATTTGAAGTATTGATAAAATTTTCGATGTTGCAATTTTAGTCGATAACTTTCAAAATTCGCTATAAAATTAATTTCTTGAAGGATCCTTGTGGAAATATCACCAATTATTAATTAAAGTGTCCTCTGTTTAATGCAACAAGCTGTTTTAAAAAATCACTTTTAGTTCTTGAGAAATAAATTTTTGAAATGATCGACAATTTTTTCGAATTTTGCAATTTTCGCCGATTAAGTTTTAAAAATTCGTATAAAATCGATTATTTGGAATATGAGTATGAACATTTCCCAAAGTGTTAATAAAAGTGTCCTCTTTCCAATGAACTAACCTATTTTGAAAAATAACTTTTAGTTTTTGAGAAAACAATATTAGAAGTTTTGATCAAAATTCGCTATAAAATTTATTTCTTGAAGGATCCTTGTGGAAATATCACCCATTATTAATTATAGTATCCTCTTTTTAGAGTTGCTTCGTTAGTTAAATCAGTATATTATTGTTATATTGTTATATAGTATATAACTTTTCTTTGGAAATTCTTTTCTGGAAGTTTGCTGAAACTGAGTGGAACAGGCAAAATAAATTATCATATATGTATCGACTTAAAAACATTATTTTCCATCATTATGAACAATTATCTTCTAAACAAGAGTATTTTTTTTAAATTAATTTTTATTTTTGTGTTATAGAGTAACAGGTGGGGAGCTTTTTGATAGAATTGTTGAGAAAGGTTCTTACACTGAAAAAGATGCAGCCGATTTAATTCGACAAGTACTTGAAGCAGTGGATTATATGCATGAACAAGGCGTAGTGCATCGCGACTTAAAAGTAATTTATATTATTAATATTATATAAATTTAAATTGATTTTTTTTAGCCTGAAAATTTATTGTACTACAGCCCAGATGAAGATAGCAAAATCATGATAAGTGATTTTGGATTATCAAAAATGGAGGATTCTGGAATAATGGCCACAGCGTGTGGAACACCTGGTTATGTGGCACCAGAAGTTCTAGCTCAAAAGCCTTATGGAAAAGCGGTCGATGTTTGGAGTATAGGAGTAATCTCATATATTTTATTATGTGGTTATCCACCATTTTACGATGAGAACGACGCTAATCTTTTTGCGCAAATTTTAAAAGGAGAATTTGAGTTTGATTCTCCATATTGGGATGAAATAAGTGATTCGGCGAAAGATTTTATAAAACAACTAATGTGTGTAAACGTGGAAAGACGATTTACTTGTCGACAAGCTTTAGGTCATCCTTGGATATCTGGAAACGCTGCCAGCAATAAGAACATCCATGGCACCGTTTCAGAGCAACTCAAGAAGAATTTCGCGAAATCTCGTTGGAAGGTTAATAAAAAAATTAAATTATTTATAATAATTTTTAATATTTGTATTTTTTAGAGGGCATATCACGCGACGACGGTCATAAGGCAAATGCAGCATTTGGCGTTAAGTAGCGGAAGTAGCGGGTTGCAACGTAGTCCGATTGCGCAGAGAAGTATGTCTGGTGGGGAATCCTGCGGTAACTTAAACGGGGCCCAGGATAAGTAATAATAATAAAAATAAACGTTAAATAATACAAAAAAAACGCTACGTCGCTTGAACTCCCTGCGGCTGCCAGCTCACATGACGTTGACGACGACGATGACTTCCGAGAAAAATAAAAGTTAAATAAAAAAAAATTAACGTCGAATCTCTTTTGAATCTTTGCATTTCCGAGAATCTCATATCGTTTCCGTGGCGGACATTCCCGAACAATCACCTCACCAGTACCCGGTAAGATAAAAAGAGGAATATATTCAAACAATTTACAATACTTAAAAATCACAAAAAAATAAATAAATAAATAGAGTGAAGTAGATAACTAGGCGAATAAATAAATGTAAACTCGTCGCTTGTAAAACTTCCCCTTATGACAAGAAAAAAAGATTAATGTTTGCCAAAGCATGTTGTATTGTTTAGAGAGCCAGATACTTATTAACTAAGAGGATCAAACTGAGTCCATGAAAATACCGCTTTGTACCAATAAAAGTAGGCTCGCTTATATTTTAAGCACTTCTCAAATACCGTCTCGTAATAATAATCATATAAGGTGACTTAACATTTAATTGTTTTTTAAAACTTTTTGTTCTTTAATCCCTACTTTTTTATTATTATTTAATTATACTTTAATTACCAGGACGCATTTCTCTAGCGTTAACTGCCAAGATCTGAATCATTTTTTAATAAAAAAAATTTATTCCCATTTTCGGAAAGCTTTGTACATTTAGAATTAAATTGAGAACCAAATTAAAATTCAAAAAAGAAAGAATTGATAAAAAAAATAAATAAAAATATTATTTTCTATATATATACATACGTGTGAATATATCTTATATACGAAAAAAAAAATAACAAATATAAATAAATATATCTATACATAAAAAAAAGGCAAATTATAAATGTATAATCCAGGATTTTTTGGATATTGTACAATAACGGAAGAACTTAGTTCAGTTTTTCAGAAGCAATATTCATTGTTGTAGGTTGTAAGAAATCAACGCTTATGTACTAAAAACGATACGATCGCTTCTTGCTTTTAAAGGAAATAAAATATCATTTTGAAATAATTTTCAATAAAATATATTTTAAAAAGAAAAAGTAAGCTATATTTGTAGATTAAATAAGTCAATATTAAAAAAAGAAATTATATCTAGTATATCTTCAAAATTATTTCTGAAGATATGTTAAATATGTTTAATATATATTTGTAAAACATATATATACAGTTGTGTTATATCTCGAAATATATGTGATAGTCTTTTGCGTTTGAATCTAAAAGAAAATTTTTAGCAAACAGTATTTTATTAGAACCTCAATTGCGACCTCTAAATTGTTTTTGGTGAACAACGGGTTAGCAATTTTTTTAATTTGCTATATGTAAATATTTTCTCCGTCCGATCGAAGACTTTCATTCCAGTATGTAAAGAAATGATTGGGTGGGTCGCACATAAAACAAAAGACACGCAAAAACAAGCTGTTATTGTAATAATTAATTTCTTTTAACGAAGTGTTTTAGATATATTGTGATATCGCATATCAATTAACAAAAAATGACATATTTATAACATATACATGTAAATTTTGATACGTTTTTGCTATAATAGAAATTTTTGCCGAAAAGACAACGATTTAAAATTTAAAAAGTCTTTAATAAAATACTGTTTGCTTGCATAGAATTTATTTTTATTATTATTATTTTTGGTGCAAATATTTCGTCAGAATATAATAGACCATGAAGCAATAGTTTACGTTTATCGATACTGTGATGCTACGTAACTGAAAGAAATTACATAAGTATTAATTTTTTCAAATTTATTCTGTCCGAATATTTCACAAGATGTTTTTAATACTCAAAATATAAAAGAATGAAATTGTTGCGTTGAATTTGTGTTGGCTGTGAATGACGATACAGAGGAAAAAAGTAAGAATAATGTGCTAATCATTACATTCCAGCTCGTTGTATTTGAATTACCTTTAAAATAAATAATGAAAAAGTTTGTTGACACTTGAAAATGAGAATTGGGAAATACATCGATTTTTTGAGATGAAAAAATTCGTTAATATCAAACAAAAGAAATGATAAATCACTTTCCTACATAATGGAAATGTAACTATATATATACAGAGTATATTTAAGGAATATTAGACATAAAAAGTTAATTGTTCTATATATAGTGTATATACAAAAAAAAGATAAAACATAATTTGTATCAGCTAAATACGAGGAGACAACTGACATTTTGTATACTCGATTAGTTTTCACTAGATCTTACCCGCATGACATTTTTAACTTTTATTAAATGAAAAATTTACCTTTTTTTTCGTAAATTTTATAATTATTTTATTTAATGTTTTATTATTTTTTGTTGTACTTTATAATTAGTTAGTTTTTTTTCATATTATGTTCTTATAATTAAATGTTTTATGGGTTCAAAAATAAATCTTTTAACAAAAATATATATCATTATTTACAATCCAATTCAAAAAGTATCTTATAAATATTGAATATCCTACTTTCAGTCTATAATAATAATCATTCGGCTCTGAAGAGCTTAAACGGTCAAAATTTAAATCCTTTTCGGGATTTTTCGGGATAATTCGATGTGTTATATCTTAAAAGAAAGCTTAAATAATAACGATTCCAACTTAATATAATGTTACGATCGAATATTTATAGAACCTTTAAGCGCTATTAATCAAAAGAGCTTAAAACGGTTAAAATTTAAATGCATGTCTCTCCCTTCGATAACTTGTGGATGAATCCGGATATTTTGATGTATTATATCTTAAAAGAAAGCTTAAATAATATCGATTTCAAAATAACATAAAGTTGCAATCGAATATTTATAGAGCCTTCAAACCCGGTTAATCAAAAGAGCTTAAAACGGTCAAAATTTAAATGCATGTCTCTCCCTTCGATAACTTGTGGGTAAATTGGGATATTTCGATGTGTCATATCTTAAAATAAAGCTTATATAATAAGGATTCCAACCTAACATAAAGTTGCAATCGAATATTTATAGAGCCTTCAAACCCGGTTAATCAAAAGAGCTTAAAACGGTTAAAATTTAAATGCATGTCTCTCCCTTCGATAACTTTTGGATAAATCGGGAAATTTCGATGTGTAATATCTTAAAAGAAAGCTTAAATAATAACGATTCTAACTTAATGTAATGTTACGATGGAATATTTATAGAACCTTTAAACGCTGTTAACCAAAAGAACTTAAAACGGTTAAAATTTAAATGCATGTCTCTCCCTTCGATAACTTGTGGGTAAATTGGGATATTTCGGTGTATCATATCTTAAAATAAAGCTTAAATAATAACAATTCCAACTTAATATAATATTATGATCTAATATTTATAGAACCTTTAAACGCTGTTAATCAAAAGAGCTTAAAACTGTTAAAATTTAAGTGCATGTCTCTCCCTTCGATAATTTATTAATAAATCGGGATATTTCGATGTGTTATATCTTAAAAGAAAGTTTAAATATTATTGATTCCAACCTAACATAAAGTTGCAATCGAATATTTATACAGTTTTCAAACCCGGTTAATCAAAAGAGCTAAAACGGTCAAAATTTAAACTCGTGTCTCTCCCTTCGATAACTTTTGGATAAATTGGGATATTGCGTTGTGTTATATCTTAAAAGAAAGCTTAAATAATATCGATTTCAACCTAAAACAAAGTTGCAATCGAATATTTATAGAGCCTTCAAACCCGGTTAATCAAAAGAGTTAACCCGGTTAATCCCTTTGATAATTTGTTAATAAATCGAGATATTTCGATGGGTTATATCTTAAAAGAAAGCTTAAATAATAGCGATTCCAAGGTAATGAAGACTTTCCCTTGCTTCTTTTATTTCAAAAACTTTTTATGTTTTCCATTTTTGTTTCATTACTTCTGATGCTTCTTTTGGCTTCACTACTCCATTTTTCAATATAGAAGTTTTTTCAGCTAATTTTATTGTCTCTGCTGTACTTATTGAAATATCAGATGTTTCTTCTTTTATGGCAGAGTTTTATCAGTTTCTCTTCATCTGCTTCGTCATTTTTTTCCACTTCAATTTATTTTCATCAATTTTATTTTCTTTTTCAGTATCTGGTGCTTCTAATTCAGTTTGTTTTTTATTTATTTCAATTAATTCATTACTTTTGAACTCTTGTTTTTACTTCTTCCCAAATAATTCTCTATAAACAAAGATAAAAATGTTACAAATTCAAAAGTTGTTAAAGAAAACTTTTCTTAATACTTATAATAATACTCGAAAGAGGTCATCACAGCAAAAAGAAAGCTGAAACTGCCTGAAACCCTGAACTTTTCTTTATGAGATGTCGACACAAAGCTAATTTATTTATTTTTAATTTTCTAATAAACAGTAAAAAAGGTCAATTTTTAGGGATAAGATAAAAGTGTAAAATTGTATGGAGATTATATTAAAGTTATCACTTTAGGAAAGGATAGGATTTTAAGATGAGTTTTTGCGTGCCGGTTAAATCTAAATGTCAAATAAGAAGCATGCGACAACAGCCAGTGTCCTGCTTAAAATCGAGTACAAAACGATGTTTTTTATATTGTTTACATTGAATTAGGGTGCTACGTTTAAGAGCGCATGCCGTTTTTGGGTAATTAATCGCGAATCTTACAGGACGGGACACATGGTAAAAGAGGAAAATGTTAAAATTCGGCTCAAAAGGTGACAGCAATATTGTTTATAAATGTACAGTTAGGTTATTAGAGGATACCGAGATTCTTGAATGTGAATATAGGGTAAGATATGAAAAAATAATCGTATTTACATTAAAATCAAATACTTTATTTAATAGCCACATCATAAAGGTAAATACCTATTGGAATATGTGTGTCAACAATTAAATTTAGTTGAGCAAGATTATTTGGGACTACGTTATGTGGATTTGGCAGAACAAAGGGTAAGCAACCAATTTTAATTCATACTTTATATCATAAAAAATACCATTTAGCATTGGTTGGATCTTGGAAAATCAATTTGTAAACAAGTTAAAGATCTTGACCCAGTGCTGTTTAGTTTTCGCGTAAAATATTACCCGCCTGATCCGTTCCATTTAAAAGAAGAGATAACACGTTATCAAATTTTTTTACAATTAAAACGAGATCTTCTCCATGGGCGACTTTATTGCGTACCAAACGACGCAGCAATGTTGGCCGCTTTGATAATCCAGGGCGAATTAGGCGACCACGATCCTGAAGTACATCTGGGGAGTTATATTTCTGATTTTAAAATTCTCCTTAAACAAACTGAAGCCATCGAAGATAAAGCTATGGAAATTCATCAAAAACAATTGAAAGGATGGAGCCCTTCTCAAGTTGAAAATACATTTTTAAAGCTTGCTTCGCAATTGGATACTTACGGTGTTGATCCTCATCCTGTTAAAGTAATTTGATTGTTGTAAATAATTATTTTAATTCAATAAAATTTAATTTGCAGTTTCAAGATAATCGTACTAATCAATTATACTTGGGTATAAATTATAGCGGTATATTAACGTTTCAAGGAAGCCGAAAAACGCATCATTTCCGCTGGTCGGATATACAAAAGATTAATTATGAAGGAAAAATGTTTATAATCCACTTGAATCATAACGATAAAAAGCACACAGTTGGTTTTAAATGTCCAACTGGAGCCGCTTGTCGTCACGTTTGGAGATGTGCCATTGAACAAATGTTATTTTTTACGTAAAATCATTTCATCGCAATAAAATTTTATTCGAATTAAAAAAAGATATCACTTTTAGATTACCTACCAGTTCAGATGCACCGTCCGTTGTAACAGGTGGCGGATTTTTTTCTTGGGGTACCAAATTTAAGTACACCGGAAGAACGGAAAAAGAAATTTTAGAAGACAACGCCAATTTAAATAGAGAAGAACCAAGCATACAACGAACCGCCAGCCTTAGGAGGAAAGCCTCAAGCGTACCGGCCACACCTTCAACTCCTTTACAACCGCATTTAGGTAAACAATTTTTAATTCATTTATTTCATTCTACATTTCATTATAATTCTAGGTTATAGCAGTTTGCCACGGTCCAGTCACTCGGATGTAGGAGGATCTAGAATTGAAAATAGCAACAGCGCTGGGTTATTATCTAGTTTGGATACTCCTCCGCAACAGTATGGTGATATTGCTTCACTGGAGACTGTTACTGAAGATCAAGAAGCTGGTGGTGTTGCAAAATTACGAACTACAGGTAAATATGTTGTTGGAAAAGTATAACTATACAGGTAGCCCTCGGTTAGATCGGCCGTTTTCATCACTTTTGGAGTTTCTTCATTAACTCTGACTGTTCATGATCTAATTCTTTGTGTTATTTGTGTAGCAATGTTCTCTGACATCTTGAGCAGTAACATCTTTTAATTCCAAATCAATTGCAAGCCTAGTCATGTTTTCAATTAGATTCTCCTATTTTGGTACTTCTTCAAAATCGTGCATTAATGCTGGCAGAAGTTTACGCCAAACTCCATTTAAACATTTTGGCGAAACTTCATCCCAAGCCGATTTTACATTATTAATGCATTTTAAAATATTTTTTTAAGCGTGCTTACTTCTGATTGATGAAAAGATTTGGTTTCAAGATGGATTTTGTTACTTCAAAATTTTGTATGTACAGTCGTGATCTTGGGAAATGCACACTCAAGGTCAAGCGCTGTTGTGAGATCCGACATGCCGCTGGATAAAAGGGCTGAGCCGAGCGCCTACGAGTCAAGAGCTTCATGTGCGCTGGGCTCAGCCCGTTTAGCCATCGGCATGTCGGATCTCACAACAGCGCTTGACCTTGAGTGTGCATTTCCCAAGATCACGACTGTACAACGATTTTTAAGTATTGACCAGTCTATTGAAGAAGGGCGGGCCCAAAACCAGTGACATGATTATCAACTGGACTGAGCGTTTCGCATAGTTGCCGGGGAAAACAGTGATGCCAATAGGTTAGGCAACCAACTGTGATCATTGTAGGTAAAAGCGACCGGCCACACGGCAAGGTTAATGCTATTGCGGGGCTGATAAATGCGCAAATAAGAAAAATATCCCTCTACTATGCAATTCTCTGACCTGCTGTACCTTTGTCAGTGACAATAAGTTAATAATAACATTTTAATAATGTCATTTTAGATATTCATATGAAGCAACTTGCTCATACTTGTCTTATTATGCTGTTTTAGTAAGAACGCTTTCTTATGGCGCGGCCTGGCTTATGCCTACAATGGGTAATGTTGGTGGCATACCCTACTGGCGTCACTTTATTCGGCGAACACGCAGTCCAGTTGATAACCATGTCACTGCCCAAAACTGGTTTAGATAAATAATAGTATATTATTATATGAGCATATAATGAGGGCTATTATTCATTCGATGAGTGAATAATAGCTCATTATATGCGAGTAGAATACTATACTTTGTCCACGACTATTGAAATTGATTCCATAAATTTATTTTTTAAATAAATTTTTGAATAAAGGTTAAACGTCAATGTGACACAAATTCAATGTTACTAACTGTAACCAACTTCACAACAATTTGTCAAAATTAAGTGTCAGTTTTATAAAACGTCGTTTTCTTTACGAAAATTAATTAATTTATGCTTAAATCATACGAAAAAAGGAATTTGTTTAGGTTTTTTTAATGTCAAACATTTAAAAACTCCTAAAAAATTGAATTAAATTGACGTTTTTTGAACTTTTAACGTTTAAAATAATTATTAGTAGTCTGGTCAAGATGGCTACCCGTGAATAATGATTATTATTCACTCCGTGAAAAATGACTACCATTTTGTTTTAGAAAACTTATTCATAAGGTATATATTATAAGGTAGTCGTGGACAAAAAATATTAATCACCTAAGCATAATTTGTTTTTTATATACATGAATATAATACATGCCCAACAATCAGTAAATACGTTTAGTAAATAAATTTATTATTAATTATGGTTATAATTTCTAGTGCATTTCTGAAGTGATACCCTGTATTGCCACATTATTGCGATATTTGAATACAATTAATAATTAAATTGGTGATATTTCCACAAGGATCCTTCAAGAAATTAATTTTATAGCGAATTTTGAAAGTTATCGATAAAAATTGCAACATCGAAAATTTTATCAAAACTTCAAATATGGTTTTCTCAAAAACTAAAAGTTATTTTTCAAAACGGGTTGGTTCATTGGAAAGAGGACACTTTTATTTACACTTTGGGAAATTTTCATACGCATATTCCAAAAAATCGATTTTATACGAATTATTAAAATTTAATCGGCGGAAATTGCAAAATTCGAAAAAATTGTCGATCATTTCAAAAACTAAAAGTGATTTTGCAAACCGGCTTGTTGCATTAAAAAGAGGACACTATAATTAATAATTGGTGATATTTCCACAAGGATCCTTCAAGAAATTAATTTTATAGCGAATTTTGAAAGTTATCGAAAATTTTATCAAAATTTCAAATATTGTTTTTTCAAAAATTAAAACTTATTTTTCAAAACGGGTTAGTTCATTGGAAACAGGACACTTTTATTAACACTTTGGGAAATTTTCATACTCATATTCCAAAAAACCGATTTCATACGAATTAATAAAATTTAACTAACTATCCAGTTGTTAGATATCCGTTCCACCACTAATAAACACTAAAACTAACTACAAACAACGAAAATCGTTTTAGTATATCGGGAAATGTCTCGATCGGTCGAGACATCGGGGATTCCCACAGTAATTATGAAACGGCGTAAATTGAACCGGCATAAACCAAGGGCTACCTGTAGTTCTAAAATGTACTGATTTCACCCAAAAGTCAAGTTTTGGGTTGATATGATAAACTATTATTTTAAAATAATATTTTCGATTTAATGTTTTAGTGTTAAAAGAAGATTCAATGGATCGTTTTAGCGATTATTGTTTCCGAGATTCATTTGAGCATTCATCATCGGAATCTCAATTAATAGAAAATAATTATAGAGGTTATGAAACGAATCATCCATCGCATAGATCGAGCAGGAGTCAAACGCCGCTTTCGCATTCGCAGGTGGACGGTCGTATATGTTTGCCGAACGCGACGTTTACTACGCAAAAATCGGTTCAAAAGCCGCGCGCTTTCAACGTGATGAAAGCATTCATCCCTTCCTTTATAATAGTGGTAGTAATTGTTTTGTTAGCCACCGTTGTAATGCTAGAAACTGATAGTGAGCTGTTCGGAAGCCTTAGAAGTATACCTGAAATCGAATCGTTAAAATACCACTTTTACGAGCCCGTGAAGAAGTTTTTTCGTGACAAAGTGCGCTTCTGATCGGGCTGTTGAAGCTGTACTCCCGTACCTTTGGAAAACATTCCAGTTCTTGCTTATATTTCTATTGGGCTTTATGTTTTATTAAAAAAAAAAGATTTAGAGAAAAAAAAGGAAGTTGAATCGATGTAATTAAAAAGAGAATAAAATAAAATACAAAGGCAGAAAATTATTCATATAGTATAATATATATTTTGCGAAAATTTTGCAATACCGAAAATACGAAGTGTGTGTGCGTACGCGTTTAAATGTACGTCCGTTTACAAAAATTTCACTTTTTTTTCGTTCGATTTATTCCATTTTTCAGAGAGGTGTAACATAGTTCCTGCTCGCTGTAGCTGCTAATAACAAAAAAAAAATAATGTTACAACTTTTTAAATAAATTTTCGATCATAGGTTTTCAAACAAGCACAAACTGCATTTACTTCTTCTTGTTATCGAATCGTTAGCTAATGAATCTCTTAGAATCTCTAACTACATATTCCGTTTACATTTATTTCTTATTAATTTTATGGCACTTGTGTCGGGTTTCTCTCGATTACACCTTCACGGGTTCCAAATATGTTTATCTGTGATCTGATCTCAAATATATATTGCTGATAGAAAATGTGTACAAAACATAATAAAAAAAGTGAAAACGAAAGTGACTCCTTAAAAAAATATGCTAGAAATATAAAGGTGCAATCAAAAAATTTTTTTTCTTGTTAAGTTTTCTATTTTACTTTTATATTTTATACGCTGTTTCGTTTCTAAAATAATTTTGTGGGTCCATGTAATACAAAATGTATTTTTAAGATGCACAATTACTACTCAGAGTTAAGGTTATGTTTAATATTTCAAATAATGATAAAAATAACGAGATCTATTTTAATTATATACTTTATCGTCGCATCTAAAACATATTGATAATACAAATTTAATTGAAATATTTAACGTAACCTTTAAATTATTTAAATTATTTGTTATTGTTTGTTATTTACCGATTAATATACAAGGATATTTTAGATTTAAGAGAGTTAGGGGCTGCATTTAGAATACTTAATGATAAATTTTGGGGAGGTAAAAGGGCCAGTTTGCGTTCGGAAAATATATTTGCCAAGCAATTAATATCAAAAAATAAAATAATAACAACATTCGAAACCTCCATTCTCTTACTCTACTCGTAGATCGTCCGTACAACGTGTTTCCTTTAAGAAATCTCCTTTTTAAGCGTTATTTTTTCATGTCCTAATCTCTAATGAATCTAGGTAATTTAACGTACACCTTTTTGCCAAATAAATAAACTTAAGTCAATTAAATGTTTTTTGTTGTTTATTTTATTCCTTCCATTTTTTATTCCAAAAAAAAGCAAAATTTTAAAAACTTCGATAATTATGACTAACAAAGAAATTGTTATATCTTGACCAAGCGTTTCTTCGATAAATTTTGGTATTTTAGATACCTCAAATATTGGCACGATTTTTTTATCGCATTCTCCGTTGATTTTGGTATATAAACCTTGTTCGACAAAGCACTAATTACTTCGAAACGAGATGCTCAAAGTTCTCGTAGTGCTTACAATTATAGTTGTAACAATTTTCCACGGTAAGTAATCTACAAGATCCTTTTTTGGATAAATTCTAATTTGCTTCTTTTAGTATTTAATGATACAGACATTGAAGAGGATGGCAAGAAATATGAAATCAATCAAATTCGTATTAATTGCGCTAATTTTTTCGAACATAATTCTTATGGCAATCAGCTTGCGTTTGATTTTCCGCTACGTAGATCGCCTAGTACCGGTATACCAGGGTTGTTAAGATTAAATACCATTATGATTTATACATTTTGAAAGGATTTTGTAATAAATAAATCTGTACGGAATGTGGAGAAGAATGTTATTGTAAAAAATAAATTCAATTAATTCAGAAGCAAATTTTATTAATTTGTAAAAAATCTCTCCTCTCCTAAAGAAAAATTAATTCTAATTTTTAAAATGGCTCTACAGAAAATCTGGAAGTGCGAATATTCAAGGAGTGTACTAGAGGGGCTATCAGAATTATCTAGAGTACTTCCACGATTTTGCAATATCTACTTTTTGAAAAAATTAATACTACTAAAAAGGATAAAAATTTAAATATTCATCCATCCGGTCCAAAAGAAATTTGGGGGTGTAGATAGACAAAAAGTATCTAAAAAAGCCTACTCGATTTATCTAGAATAGTCCTAGAGTGCTGGAATCCGTAATTTTTGAAAAAAATTAACTCTAAATTTAAAGTTAAAAATGACGTATTTTCAAAAACTCTATGATCCTACGTCAAATCTGAGATGCGAATAGGCAAGAAGTGTACTAGAGGGGCGACCAGAATTATCTAGAGTACTCACACGATTTTGGAATATCTAGTTTTTGAAAAAATTAATAATACTAAAAACGATAAAAATTCAAATACTCATCCATCCGGTCCGAGATAAATCTGGTGGTGTGGATAGACAAAAAGTATCCAAAAAGGCCTACTCGATTTATCTAGAATAGTCCTAGACTGCTGGAATCCGTGATTTTTGAAAAAAATTAACTCTAAATTTAAAGTTAAAAATGACGTATTTTCAAAAACTCTATGATCCTACGGCAAATCTGAGATGCGAATAGGCAAGAAGTGTACTAGAGGGGCGACCAGAATTATCTAGAGTACTCCCACGATTTTGGAATATCTAGTTTTTGAAAAAATTAATACTACCAAAAACTATAAAAATTCAAATATTCATCCATCCGGTCCGAGATAAATCTGGCGGTGTGGATAGACAAAAAATATCCAAAAAGGCCTACTCGATTTATCTAGAATAGTCCTAGAGTGCTGCAATCCGTGATTTTTTAAAAAAATTAACTCTAAATTTAAAGTTAAAAATGACGTATTTTCAAAAACTCTGATCTTACGGCAAATCTGAGATGCGAATAGGCAAGAAGTGTACTAGAGGGGCGACCAGAATTATCTAGAGTACTTCCACGATTTTGGAATATCTAGTTTTTGAAAAAATTAATACTACCAAAAACCATAAAAATTCAAATATTCATCCATCCGGTCCGAGATAAATCTGGCGGTGTGGATAGACAAAAAGTATCCAAAAAGGCCTACTCGATTTATCTAGAATAGTCCTAGAGTGCTGCAATCCGTGATTTTTAAAAAAAATTAACTCTAAATTTAAAGTTAAAAATGACGTATTTTCAAAAACTCTATGATCCTACGGCAAATCTGAGATGCGAATAGGCAAGAGGTATACTAGAGGGGCTATCAGAATTATCTAGAGTACTCCCACCATTTTGGAATATCTAGTTTTTGAAAAAATTAATACTACTAAAAACGATAAAAATTCAAATATTCATCCATCCGGTCCGAGACAAATCTGGCGGTGTGGATAGACAAAAAGTATCCAAAAAGGCCTACTCGATTTATCTAGAATAGTCCTAGAGTGCTGGAATCCGTGATTTTTGAAAAAAATTAACTCTAAATTTAAAGTTAAAATTGACGTATTTTCAAAAACTCTATGATCTTACGGCAAATCTGAGATGCGAATAGGCAAGAAGTGTACTAGAGGGGCGACCAGAATTATCTAGAATACTCCCACGATTTTGGAATATCTAGTTTTTGAAAAAATTAATACTACTAAAAATGATAAAAATTCAAATACTCATCCATCCGGTCCGAGATAAATCTGGTGGTGTGGATAGACAAAAAGTATCCAAAAAGGCCTACTCGATTTATCTAGAATAGTCCTAGACTGCTGGAATCCGTGATTTTTGAAAAAAATTAACTCTAAATTTAAAGTTAAAAATGACGTATTTTCAAAAACTCTATGATCCTACGGCAAATCTGAGATGCGAATAGGCAAGAAGTGTACTAGAGGGGCGACCAGAATTATCTAGAGTACTCCCACGATTTTGGAATATCTAGTTTTTGAAAAAATTAATACTACCAAAAACCATAAAAATTCAAATATTCATCCATCCAGTCCGAGATAAATCTGGCGGTGTGGATAGACAAAAAGTATCCAAAAAGGCCTACTCGATTTATCTAGAATAGTCCTAGAGTGCTGCAATCCGTAATTTTTAAAAAAAATTAACTCTAAATGTAAAGTTAAAAATGACGTATTTTCAAAAACTCTATGATCCTACGGCAAATCTGAGATGCGAATAGCCAAGAAGTGTACTACAGGGGCTATCAGAATTATCTAGAGTACTCCCACGATTTTGGAATATCTAGTTTTTGAAAAAATTAATAATACTAAAAACGATAAAAATTCAAATACTCATCCATCCGGTCCGAGATAAATCTGGTGGTGTGGATAGACAAAAAGTATCCAAAAAGGCCTACTCGATTTATCTAGAATAGTCCTAGACTGCTGGAATCCGTGATTTTTGAAAAAAATTAACTCTAAATTTAAAGTTAAAAATGACGTATTTTCAAAAACTCTATGATCCTACGGCAAATCTGAGATGCGAATAGGCAAGAGGTATACTAGAGGGGCTATCAGAATTATCTAGAGTACTCCCACCATTTTGGAATATCTAGTTTTTGAAAAAATTAATACTACTAAAAACGATAAAAATTCAAATATTCATCCATCCGGTCCGAGACAAATCTGGCGGTGTGGATAGACAAAAAGTATCCAAAAAGGCCTACTCGATTTATCTAGAATAGTCCTAGAGTGCTGGAATCCGTGATTTTTGAAAAAAATTAACTCTAAATTTAAAGTTAAAATTGACGTATTTTCAAAAACTCTATGATCCTACGGCAAATCTGAGATGCGAATAGGCAAGAGGTATACTAGAGGGGCTATCAGAATTATCTAGAATACTCCCACGATTTTGGAATATCTAGTTTTTGAAAAAATTAATACTACTAAAAATGATAAAAATTCAAATACTCATCCATCCGGTCCGAGATAAATCTGGCGCTGTGGATATATAAAAATGCACTCTAGAATAGTTCTAGAGTGCTGCAATACGTGATTTTTGAAAAAATTAATTCTAAATTTAAAGTTAAAAATGACGTATTTTCAATTCCTCTTCCGCTTCTACGACAAATCTGAAGGTGCAGATAGACAGAGTGTGTTAGAGGGCCTATCCAAATCATCTAGAGTAGTTCCAGGGTGCTGGAGTTTCTAAATCTTGTTAAAATAAATTTTAAGTTTACCACTAAAAATGAGGTGTATTAAAAATTTGTCTTCTTAAAAATATTACAAGAATGAATATAAATGAAAAATATATATACATAAATATCAAATATATTTCCATCTAAGAAATCTCAAAACAAAAAATTTATAATTTGTTAACAGGATAATTTGAAGGAAGTATATGATTACACTTAGGTTTAAAATTGAGCGTAAATACTGCATTGTTGTATGGCGAACGATGCAAAATTCTATTTTGCACGTGACTTGCAGGTAATTTATCAACGAATGGAACTTGATCATTTGTTTCATCAATACTTTCTGGATACAAGTCATCACCTATAAATATATATTTGTATATTCGGTTGCATACATTACTTGAAAACGAAATAAAAGATATTACCTGGAAGGATTGAATATAAACCATCCTTAGTATCGACTCTTGATGGAAAATATCTTTCAACGCCATGTACAGCCCTTTCCCCGGAAAATTTGAGTAAATTATCAATATCGAGGAAATTTTTCAATCTGCACATCTCGTAAAATTGCGGTGGAGGTAATAAAATTTCTTCGTTTCTGTTTCTTGTTAAGTAATCAGCCGGCGTTCCCCACTTAAAATTTAATTACAACTAAAGTAGATTAAAATTTAAGGATAATATTTACTTCCAAATGTGACACTTCCATTTCTTCAGCATAAGCAGCTGGGGTTTGTTGAAAAGCTGTGAGGAAGAAAGCAACATCAAAACGAATTGGTAAAGATGGTGGGGTCACCCAGTTAGCCCATTCTTTAAGAGACCAAACATCAGGATATATTTCAAATTTTCTGCACATCTCTATAAATTTTTCTGGATCATCATGAACTTTAAGTTGCCATTTTTTAATTTCAGGAAGATCTAAAATTCAATTTTAAATATATTTTATTATTTTACATTATAATTAATATTGTTTTACCAATAAAAGAACCCCATCTAGCAATTCTTTCTTTATAATTAATTTTATAACTTCTACAAATAAGAATACCACATTCCTCAAAAGTTTCACGAATAGCCCCAATTCTTAATGAAAGAAATTTCGGGAGATCAACGTCATTTGTATCCTTGAATAGTTTGGGACGATTATCCTTGGGATTGAGCTTATCGAAAGAGTCATACTTAAAACCGAAATCTTCATAGAGTTTCAACCAATCTCTAGAGACATCAGCCTTACAGATGGCGCCGCCGGGAAAGACATAGGTGCCTGGCATAAAGCCAGACCTGGAGCTCCTCTTTATGGATAATAATTTGTAATTGAAATCAGATTGTTTTTTGGCCGGAGCAAACGCGGTTTTCGCCACCAAAATTATGCTGGCCGAGTCCCGCCACGGTTTCAAACTAGGCCGCATCTCCGAACGATAAAATCAACGTACGGGAACACTTTAAACTTTGCAACCGTACATATTTTCAATTATTCTGTTTTTAGGTTAGGCGCGCTCACTCCGCCTGCGACTAAAGTTCGAGACTGACGCGTTAAAATTATGTTCTGAAAAAAAAAACGGACTCCGTAGATAACGTAATTGTATTAGCACTATTAGATACTGTATGTCGTTTACTTAAGAAGTAGTTCGAGAAATCTTTGGATTTATTGAAGGTTATTTTTTCAAAATGTGAACAATTTTTTTTAAATCAAAATTATTTCGTTAATTAATATTGATGTTAAAGCAAAATTCATGCAATATGAGCAAAATAAAATCTGATTTTGTCATGATACATCAATATTTGGTGCAATAGTCAAAAAATTATGTGGTCATCAAAGAAATAATGGGGGTTTGCAACAAGCCGAGGTCGCTTGCGGCCGAGGCAGTACAGTTTTAGGGTAGAAACTTATGGAATGAAGTTGATTTTGACAAGATACGTCATTATCTGATGTAATTGCAAAAATTGATGTGCATGTCTAAGGCGTAATGATTTTATATAATGAGCCGAGGTCGCTTGCGACCGAGGCAGTACATTCTTGAGTTTTGAATCTAAAATGGATGCAATAAAATCTGATTTTGTCATGATACTTCAATATTTGGTGCAATAGTCAAAAAATTATGTGTTCATCAAAGAAATAATGGGGGTTTGTAACAAGCCGAGGTCGCTTGCGGCCGAGGCAGTACAGTTTTAGAGCTGACTCTTACTGACTATTGTAAAAAAAGTGTTATCTATGCCTAATGATATTATATAACGAGCCGAGGTCGCTTGCGACCGAGGCAGTATAGTTTTGAACCTGAAATGGATTCAATAAAATCTGATTTTGTCATGATACATCAATATTTGGTGCAATAGTCAAAAAATTATGTGTTCACCAAGGAAATAATGTGTTCCTGCAACAAGCCGAGGTCGCTTGCGGCCGAGGCAGTACAGTCTTGAACCTGAATGGATTCAATAAAATCTGATTTTGTCATGATACATCAATATTTGGTGCAATAGTCAAAAAATTATGTGTTCACCTAAGAAATAATGGGCGTTTGTAAGAAGTCGCTTGCGGCCGAGGCAGTACAGTTTTAGAGCTGACACTTACTGACTATTGCAAAAAAAAGCTATCTATGCCTAAGACGTAATGGTATTATATAACGAGCCGAGGTCGCTTGCGAACCGAGGCAGTACAGTCTTGAACTTGAAATGAATTCAATAAAATCTGATTTTGTCATGATACATCAATATTTGGTGCAATAGTAAAAAAATTGTGTTCATCAAGGAAATAATGGGTTCCTGCAACAAGCCGAGGTCGCTTGCGGCCGAGGCAGTACGTCTTGAACCTGAAATGGATTCAATAAAATCTGATTTTGTCATGATACATCAATATTTGGTGCAATAGTCAAAATATTATGTATTCACCAAGGAAATAATGGGTTCCTGCAACAAGCCTAGGTCGCTTGCGGTCGCGGCAGTACAGTTTTAAAGCTGGCACTTACGGAATGGAAATTAATGTTGTCAAAATACATCAATATCAGATGTGAATACCAAAAATATACATCTAGGGCTTAATGGTCTACAAGGCTACCACCAACGATTCTCCAACCAACAAGACGCCAGTTCAAGGCAAAATTCTCTAAAAAACATCTCTAATATTTTCAAGAAACAATCCTGGAGAAAATTATCTAGCAAACATAACAGACGCAAAATAAAAGTCTGCCAAAAGTTAATTTTATAATTATTGTATTATTATGTTGGCTAATACCTCATAGCCACATTTGGTGACCCCGACGTGATGTGGCTATGAGGGGAAGTGGATGTAGCGTGCTGTGGCAGCAGCTCCATTTAAAAACATAAAATTGTAATTCATTTGTTATTATTTTTATATTTGCCACACAATTGTTTTTGAAGCAAACATAACAGACGCAAAATAAAAGTCTGCCAAAAGTTAATTTTATAATTATTGTATTATTATGTTGGCTAATACCTCATAGCCACATGTAGGAATTAAAAGACTTATCCTGCAAATATGGATATAATGTACTTAAGTCAGTCTGAATCAAATTTTTCATGATCTTGATTCAAACTATTCACTTTTCCATCGATAATAAAATACGCAAGTAATCCAAAAAGCGTTAGATATAAAGAAGTTATAATTTTATCATAAATCTGTTTTGAATGTATAATTTTGTAATAAAAAAAATTAATGATGGGGGTGAATTAAGTGTTCAAAAACTTTTGAAAATGTTTGTATATAAGGTGACCCCTTATTGGCGGGTTGTCGATCAGTGACGATGTAAAACAGCCGTGCGGTGGCGCCATCCATCGGGTTCTTGGGGAACGAGGGCGGTTTGTGTAGCCCGCTCTAGTGGGGAATGTAAATGCGTGCGGTGCACGGGCACGGTGGACCCCAATTTTGTACACAAATAAGGGCCGCTCCCGGCTAAATAACGGAAAAACAGTGGACGGAGTGAAAGAAGTGAGCCCTAAAACGATTGTGGCGGTCAACAGGCGATCCGTGAAGGTGTTGATTCAACATTCTTCAGCTAAATACACGTACATTCTTTATGGACGATTTCAAAATGGAGTAGAACTAGTACTTGGCTATATGTTGTTTTGTTGCCCTACCATAACTTGAACAAGTTCATTTTTTGTGCCGGCCGCATCTGATGATAGTTTTCGGGCGAAACTCTGTGACCTGTTAAACGAACCTGTGCCATTAATTAGAAAACAAATTATAAAAACAAAAAAAACGGGGGCCTCCGTGGTAAACCTCCTCCAATGCCGGGATTACATGACCTCTCGCATTTCTAGTCTATCCCAGCATTCCAACTCGAAACGAACATCTATGTAAGGTAAGAAAGATATTTTCATTCAACGCACAAACCACTTCTTTTAACTCTTCATCGTTTTCGTTTCATTTCTTTCTTTGCATTCATTACCATCCTTTACCTGTGTTTTCACGTGTTCAAGTTTCGCGGAATAGTTCTTTGTCTCTCTCAAAATCATATTTACACCTCACCTCTTATCATTTACATTCAAATTCACAAAACAAAAACAAAAAATATTCTTATTATTTAAAATAAAGGAAAACGCGTTTCGAATATTTAACTCATCTTCAGCCTTTTCTCTAATATATTTTTTTTATTGCAAGAAAATGAATTAAGCGTGGTTGATTAATTGTTGTTGTTTTCCGGATAAAAATACAATAAGCGTAGACGAAAGGAGTGCGAAACCACATAAAAAATCCTTTATATCACCTCGTACTGCAAATTTGAAACGAAATGAGAGACCTCCTAAATCCCGGGCTAACGATGCCCAAGGCGAAATTTAGTAACTTTGACCCTTAAAGAAGACGAAACAATATTTGCTTAGTACACACAAACAAAATCGGAAAATGGGAGGAAAACAAATCGTCCCGATTTTTCCTTCTGGCGAGAAAATTATAAGCTCCGTGCTCGGCTAATAAAGTAGCGTTTGTTTTCTCGTCTTTTTCAGAAAATAACTTAATCATCAACGTCGGGGCGTTTTAGTAAATAACGTTGCAATAAAGTTGAAGTAAAAAAGCGACGGCTTCTCCAAATCTTTAATGGAACTAACTTCAAGTTTAATAACCCCACATAATCATCTCATAGAACTATTAATGCGTCTTTTCATAACTTATGAATTTACTCAATTTAAGTTTGAATATTCAAATATGTAAGTTTTTAGATTTCAAAAATGAAGTTGTGAAAGATTTTAAAATAGATTTTAGAAACATCCGTTTAATATTTTACCCGAAAGGAAATTGAAAATTGAATATGTTCCCAAATTGCGGATGTTCTTAAAGGAAATAAACATTTCACGTAATATATAAAGATTACATATATAGACCTTTTTTTCGAGTCTTGATATGTCTAGGAATTAGGAATAAATTCATGTTATAAAATAAATTCCTTTACAGATAATTTTTGAGATCGCGTTTGAATACGTGTAACGTTATAGCCTCCAGCACAACACTCGGCAAACCATTGAATATCCCAATTCCTGCATACAAAGGCCCTGTTCTGATCATTTCGTATTGAAAGTTGGGGACTAGGAAATTGGGAACCAGTAACAGATTTCTATTTATAGTGATGTGATGATGCAAAATTCTGAGACGTAAAAAAATATTTTGTGGTTTAAAGATTAGGTGGATGTTTGAAAAACTTTGAATTTGTGATGAATACTAAAAAAGTGATTTTGCAGTCTTTGATACCAATGATATTTGCAATTTAACCTTGTTTAACTTAGAATGGAGAATATGTGATTAAGCCGAGGTGCTACAATTAATACCACATTGATACAAAATTGGATAACATAAAACAGTACTTATTAATGGAGATGTACAAGGTTTGAGGTTTTGATAAAATGTTTTTTGATTTAATATTATACAAAATTAATAAAAGGAGTTATTATAATGCAGGCTTGCAGCTACCAACATGGATGAAGAACGAAACAGTAGAAAAGTATAGAAAATTCTTTCTGGATATATGTATCTTGAGTCATAGCTGTGAAAACTAGATAGAGTGAGAAACGAGGAAATTAGAAGAAATACGAAGCCTGTTCTGCAAATGGTGGATTATATTAAACTGAAATGGTATGGGCATATGGTAAGGATGGAGGACAATAGGCAGGTGAAAAGAATTTGACAAGCCAAGATGGAGGGTAGAAGCAAGAAATGAAGGCCACGAGCTAAGTAGAGAAATAAATAGAGAGATCTTGTCCTAGAGGGAGGCAATGAAGTTGGCAGCTAAGAGAGGAATGGAAAAGCTTTGTGTCGAACAGGCACAGTTAAACAGAGAAGTAGACCTCAACACCTACGGGTGTAAAGAGGATTAATTCTTATGATAAAATTGATAATTACACAGATGATTTTGAAGAATGTATCCAAAAAGCCATTTTTTTTGTGCATAACCTCAAATATCTTAAAATCCTGGTATGATGGTCCAATTTTGAGCTCGGATTATGATTTTACGCAGAAAATTACTTCGGAAATGACCGACAACAAAACCTTGCAGATCTGTGTTATGATTCATCATTGGGATAAAGATGTATTAAGTACGAATTCTTCTAATTTTGATATTATCGTATATTTCTCTATATTGATGCATCTGAGAGCAAAAGTGTTAGGGAACAATGTGTTTAGGGCAAAATTTGCTACAACTTTTGTTCTAAAAGTTTTTCTATATCATGCTCTTAATATTGTTTTCTTTTCATCAACCAATTATGAAATGACGAATTCTTTTAATTTTAATATTTTTGAATTTTTCTCGATATTGATGCAGTTGAGAGCAAAACTGTTCCAAACCAATGTGTTAAGGACAAAAAGTTTTTCTGTATCATGCTCGGAATACAGTTTTTTTTTTCATCAACCAATTGTGAAATGACGAATTCTTTTAATTTTAATATTTTTGAATTTTTCTCGATATTGATGCAATTGAGAGCAAAAGAGTTCAAGAGCAATGTGTAAAGCAATGAATTTTGGTTACTATTACTAACCAGTTCCAACCTAAGCAAGAGCAGAGAAATCTCCTGCACAACTTTTACAGCATCACGGATATCGTTTTCATCTTCAAATTTTCTTCTTCCCACAATAACTTGTCTTTGTGGTTAGCCATGAGTAGCTTCTAACCTAATCCCAAATCGCGCATGGATTTCTTACCGATGTTCCTCAGAATTGATTTTGTTTTTTATGCCAATGGTGGAAAGTGGACATTTTTGGCATAAGATTATCCATAAAGATACAATCAATTTTATGCCGTTTTTCCATATCACCATGTTTAATCTAAAATCCTCGAGGAAGAGAAAAATCTATGAAATCTAAGCATTTCTAAGAAATACAATATGCATCTTTATGCAATTACTACAAATTTATACCATTCCACTTAACAAACAAATTTAGTAAAAAAATGCCCACAAAACTGCGATATATGTTTGCACCAATGAAACAAATTAGATTTTTAGATGATTTTTAATAAATAATGTATTCAAAAATGGAATTAATAAAGAAATCATGGTAGGGCTTCGAAAAAGTTTATAAAACTTGTGTGGAGAGTCGAACTGGTGCGCCAATACGCGGCGCTGTTAACTGAATTTGCGCCGTAAACTCAGTTTCGTCGTGACTGCGGTAGAGTTCTGTCCATCCCCTTTCTATCGCAGCGTGTTCTTCGACGTTTGTCGCGTTTGTAACCTGTTCGGACGTGCTAGGCGCGCAGTGTCGTGTTGTGCGCGACTTTACTTTTTGATCTCGCCCACGCTTCCTCCTAACACGACTGATTGCGAACGGAAGGAAATAACATTGGGTACGTTCCAGGTCAATATATATATATATATAAAGTTTTTTTTAAGTAATTTTTTGTGGTGAAATCGCGCATTTAACTGAATCTCGGCTCACGTACCGTCCAAGGGAATTCCATTATCTTTCTTGTTAAACTAAGGGGGATTTACATTTTAAATGAAGGAGTAATAGAATTAAGATAAAATTAACTGAAAGCTCTTCTATCTTGTCCCGACTTGGTGTACGGTAACCGAAATTTACATATATCCAAGTCTCTTCGGGGTTTATTTTTGCTCAAACGCATTTGCAGTAATTACAATATTATCGGGCAAACGCCAATTTCAGCAAAATCACTTTCGAAATTTAAAGGTAATATTTAATGAAGAATTACTTAATCGTATTTATATTACTAAGCAAGCACACAAAGTTGGAAATAGCCCAGCAATTTCGAGGAAAATATTGCAATATTTAGTGTCATCAGGAATTCAACCGCACGTATCCCGGAATTCCACAAAACATACGGTCAGCGCGCGAAAAATTCTAAGTCGAGGTCATAAAATTCGGTTATTATGCACATAAGGGGCTCCCATTTCATTTTTCGCGGAAGTTGGCGCATTTTTGGAACAGTTCCACGGTTATACTCTCTCTGTCCTATCCACTCTTCTAAGTTCTAACAAAAAATTATATAATTTATTCCTAACGTATAATCCATAAACATTAACCCATAATTTAATTTTTTTATTTATTAAAATATTTATGTCAGATCTAAGATGTAGGCTAACAAAACAAAATATAAAATATAATCGCGAGTTCTCAAGATCACTGCTACAGGTCAAGCAAAACAAATTTTATTTACATTTCTCGATATCTTCGTCGGTTTGAATCCGATTATTGACATTGTTAGGCCTTTGCAAATATGCTGAAGGTTACTGGCGAACGTTAGGTAGAAAATGATTTATGATGATTATTTGGAAAATGTAAAAGATTTTGGTTGGGAAAATATTTAAACGAATTTAATAAATAATTACTTCAATTTTAAGATGGAAGCGAAATTTTTTTATAAATAAGGTGTATAATGCGAGAGGGTAAAAACCAACAAAGGGTTTGTTTTTGTAACGAACGTTTCCCTGTTTAGTATTCATTTATTCAATTCATTATGAAATTTTTGTAAAAATCCTCCGATCGCGGTTGAAACGAAATCTCATCGCAGTTTTTGTAACGAAATTCATGGTGAGTTCTATAGAATGGCCATAGTACTTATCATTATAAAGTGGTATATTGTCGATAAAAAAAGTAAGGGGGTAAAAAAAACACAAGAGGGTTACTTTTTTAGCAAAAAATAAGCCAAGATTTATGAGCTTTTAGGGTGCGGACGTAGACAGGGGGCGCGAGCAAACTCTACGTAGTCGATATATATCGGTATTGCTTTTTAAATTTGTCATCCCCCTTTTTTCTTTTTTTTTCTCTCGAATACTTTTAATATAATCGATGGGACAAACAAAATAATTACCATTACTACTCGTTTTCGATCCGGGCGACCCCAGCTAGATCTAATCC